ACCCTGCTTCGGCAGGGGGGTTGGACTAGATGACCCACAGAGGTCCCTTCCAACCCCGAACATGCTGTGACTCTGTGAAGTTATGAGTGAGCATCAAAATTCTTCCTAAACGGGGCCCTGTGCACGCAGGTGGCTAGGGGCCGGGAACTGTACCTCCCCACCCGTACTTGTGCCACCCTGGGTGTTATTACTAATTTATGAAGTGCTACAGCAGTTATTAGCAACTCGCTGCCCGAGGGATTTGGAGGACAGGGATGCGGTGTTGCGTCTCTCCTCTGCACGGCTGCTGTCATCAAGACCTTCCTGCCGCAGGAATAGCATTGGTGTCCATGTGCCCCTATTTGCCTTGTTTCCACAACGCTGACGTCTTTGCGTTGCGGACTGTTTTGCACAACTCCTAAGCCAATGATTTTTAAATGGTCTCTTGTGCTGTGTATAACAATTAGATTTTTTTGTTGGACCCTTTCAGAAAGCAATGGTTTTTTTCTGCTAGAGACTCGATCGCTCACAGGCACTAGCAAAGCATCGAGACTGATAATCGAGTACATCACTTGAAACAAAATACCCCAGCAACAGCGGCATCCAGTTCTCCAAATATATTAGACCAGAGTAAGTGCCCTTTGTTTGATATAAACAGCAATAATTGCGGTCTGCTCTCCTGTGTGACCTGTAGCAGGAGTGTATTGTCACTTGCAAAATAGAAATGATGACCTCAACCCAAACAGCTTGATGCAAATATCTTAGCCTGGATAGATAGTTCTAAGCCAAACAGATTGTCATTGAGGCTGAAAAATAATATATTTTAGCTTAAGTTTTCCCCACATAATCCCTGTTCTACTGACTGCCCTTTTAAACTGGGCAGAAGTAAGCAGGATTTTATTTCTTCCTTAGACGTGTTTAAATTTGACCACTGGATAATGCAGTTCCAGGTGTGTCTACAGAGGTTTTCATGCATAAAATTCGTGAGATGATCCTCAATAAAAAGGAGATACTTTTTTTTTTTTTTTGAGGTTCTAGTCTGCTGTTTCATGGGTGACATTTTTCATTAAATACAAAACTTAATTTAATACTAAACTTTTCATTATTATAGAATCATAGAATGCTTTGGGTTGGAAGGGACCTTCAGAGGTCATCTAGCCCAATCCCCCTGCAGTGAGCAGGGACATCCTTAACTAGACCAGGTTGCTCAGAGCCCCGTCCAACCTGGCCTTGAATGTTTCCAGGGATGGGGCCTCCACTCCTTCTCTGGCCAATCTGTTCCAGGGTTTCACCACCCTTATGGTAAAAATTTCGCAGGATTTTATTTCTTCCTTAGACGTGTTTAAATTTGACCACTGGATAATGCAGTTCCAGGTGTGTCTACAGAGGTTTTCATGCATAAAATTCGTGAGATGATCCTCAATAAAAAGGAGATTCTTTTTTTTTTTTTTTGAGGTTCTAGTCTGCTGTTTCATGGGTGACATTTTTCATTAAATACAAAACTTAATTTAATACTAAACTTTTCATTATTATAGAATCATAGAATGCTTTGGGTTGGAAGGGACCTTCAGAGGTCATCTAGCCCAATCCCCCTGCAGTGAGCAGGGACATCCTTAACTAGACCAGGTTGCTCAGAGCCCCGTCCAACCTGGCCTTGAATGTTTCCAGGGATGGGGCCTCCACTCCTTCTCTGGCCAATCTGTTCCAGGGTTTCACCACCCTTATGGTAAAAATTTCTTCCTCATATCTAGTCCAAATCTACCCTCCACTCTACCCTCTACTCACGTCATCTATACATTTAAGCACATACATGATCTAAGCACATATATAAGTTCTGTTGAAGGCACAGGCCCCTTCTCAATGCTGTGAGCAGTGTACTTGCCAAATTACAGTTTTGCTAAGGTGCTCTCATCAGCGTATTCCACATAGAAAAACACTTGCAGGGAATGGCTAGATCAAAGTGGCACATAATTATATCAATCATATATATTTATATATGATGTTTGTGCTTTGGATCTTTTTTTATGACGTGTCTTTATGCCTGCTATGGGTTATAGCTTCAAGGAGGAGGTCATGATCCGGGTGGCAATTTCCTATGACTTCTCTTAGATGTTATACTGAAATTCAAACCGCATGTAGAAAAAACAAAGCGACAGGTGATTTTTAAAGGAATAAAGGCACTCACAAATGAATATTGTCACTGAGTAGGACTTTCAACACCCACTTAATGCCTCACATAGCACATACCTACATAATAGGTGCCCAAGTACTTAAAAGGCCTAGCTCCAAGTGTTATCAAGACTGAGGACTTGATAATCCACTCTTGCAATCTTTCTGCTCATTTCAAGGCTCTCCAGGTAATTAACGTGTTGTTTTTGTGCAAACACAATCTCATAATCAGTATTTCTGAAGTCTACTGTGGTGTGATAAAGCCTGAATGGGTTTTTTTTTGTCTCTGTATTTTATTATGTTAAATAACATACTGTTAGATATAGGCATATCTTCTAAATTTTAAACTAAGAAGTGTTTCTGTT